ACCAAAAAGAATTGTAAGTATGAAATTGCAGTATTCTTTTTTTATAATAACCTTATTTTCAAGGTCAAATACATTATATATGTCTAAAATAACTACAAAATCAGTACATTGGTTTAAGATAACTAATTTCCTTATAACCAACAATAATTAAAAGATTAATATTTTTATAAATATTTAATAGTAATTTCTTTATAAATATTAAATTATTAGATAAATATTTTTCTTTTAAAAAAATTAATTAATTAACAATTTATATTCATAAACAATTATTCTCACAATCGATTCATAAACATGGTCTTCATCATGCTCATATATGTTTGTGGTTACAAGAATTAAAGCAATATCAAACTAGATAAAAGTATTAATAGTTTCTACCCCTAAATTACATGATAAAAATATTGATCCAATGTATTCAAATGGTTAAAAAAACTAAGATCATTTCCAATTTCTCTATTTATATATTAAAATATAATTTATTAAAATAGAGAAATATGTTTCAGAGTATGATTTTGTAATAGAATTTCTCTACTTTTATAGGAAAATATAAGGATTCCACTACATTTTTTCCTTAAAGTATAGAACAGTATAACAAAGTTAAAGTTATAAATTGAATAAATATCTTTCTACAATAAAGTTTCTTTAAGAAAATATAAATAAATATACAGTTGGGTTGGAGACACAAACATTATTAAATGACATTGTGAAACATTAGATTATGTTTGAACAAAATGAATAGCATAGAAAGTTAAAACAAATATTAAATTAAGAGGATAAGAATATGTATGAAGTTATCCTAACTCGATTGGCTTGATTCAATTTTTTAATTCATTATATTTCATCTTATTCATATTTTTTCAGGGGTTGGATCTAATTTCATTTTTGCGTCTAGATTTCTTTCTATTCCTAAGTACAAAGTTTCTAATAATTGTGTATGCACTATAAATACTGACAAGATAAATGCCAAACCAAAATTTTAGGGGGAAAATATTTTTATGAATTAAATAAGTTTCACAAAATATATGAGAAAATTCTGCAATTCTAAGAAAATTACACAGTTATTATCTTTTATGAAATTAAAACATCATTCAAAACTCGTACAAAGTATGGGTATATACCTAGTAGTCTATAAAACACACCGCACATACGAACGTATGTGAAAGAGATAAATAATATCGAAATAAAAAATGAAGCAACGCACGATACCATTAGATACTATATCAGAAGGCAGAAGAACAACAAAATATCGTAACCACATAATCATGTCACTTTTTACAAATAGCATTCTTACTTATCGACCCAATCCATAAGTCTGAACACAAAAAAATAGTTCAACCGCTGAATTAGGACAAGATCAAGTCAATAATCGATCACTAATTTTTGTAAGGCTAACGAATAACAAAATCCAAGAAACTTTTATTACACAAGATCAAGTCATGATCAATCACTAATTTTTGTTACTACTAACGAATTATAAAATCCAAGAAATTTTTATTACACTTGTAGATCAAGTATACCATCAGAAATATCTGGTCGAACACTCGAGACTCGCCTCAAGGTCGAGGATAACGAAGCGAACTTGCCAACAAATAGATGGACTATGAGAGTTGACTGATATTTACCAGGTTCGGGTTCACATTTTAACCAAAGTTTTGTCTCTCACTATAGCGGTAATTTGTTAGCTCGGGTTTGTCATGTACTTCCAACTTAAAACTAATTGGTGACTAGTGGATTGATCATAACCTTTTTATATAAGTACTAAGGTTCTCTTGAATTTCCGATGGGAGATATATTATCTCTAATATTCTTTCTTGAGATTATGGCTCTTATCAGTCATAAATTTCGGTACTTTAAAACAGTTATATTCGGCTGATTGAGTCAAATACGACAATTATACCTAGTTAGAAAGTTAACACGATCTTTATACTTGGCCAAAAAGATTAATTAATTAATTAAGAGTTTTAGGTTTTTTTTAGGATATAAGCGCTGATACCATGTTAGATTCGGATCTGTCATGAATTTTTAACTTAAAACCAATTAGTGATTAGTAAACTGGCCATAACCTTTTATATATTATTTAAAGTTTTCTTGAATTTCCGATGTGGATATATTATCCCTAATATGATTTATCTTCTGTTACTATACTCTCTTCAATTAAGGCAATGCTCTGTAAGCGATCTCGCTTTGTCCGCACAGCACTTCCAAAGTAATTAACATCAAATATTTTTGTTTTAGTTCTTCTTATTGTTAATGAACTTACTCGTTAAATAATGAATAAATAAATTGAAGGTATGAGCAGGGCCAGCTTAGCATGGGGGCAGCCCAGGCTCACTCTATTTTTTTTTTATTTTTTTTTGACAGCAAACAAAAACAGACTCATATGGACTCCCTCACTCTATTTCTTAAAAAACTTTTTCATTAATATATATTATATTAAGTGTAAATTTATATAGTATTATAAAATATAAGTATAAAATTTAATTAAAAATCAAATATAAGACGCTTATTAATTATTTTATATATAAATAATTTTATTAATATCTAAAAATCTTAAAATTAATAATTATAGAGTCTAAATTTCTTTTTAATAATTTGGGGCCTAATTTTTTTTTTTTTTGGGATTTTCAATAGTGTTGAACCGGCCCTGGGTATGAGATCGGTGAGAGCTTGTAACCAAAGGATGCTGCATATCAAATCATAAAAGATGAGCTGATGCTTGACAGTAAACCCGAGGCTGAACCTGACCTCGTTTGTGACGACATGGATGGAGCCAGAGTGTGACCGTCTCATTATGGAGTCTATCAATAAGATCTATGTCGACATGGATGAGTACCCTGTCACTACCAAGCTCCAGGTCTCTCTATCTTCCGATCTCTCTTTACAATCATTTTTTTGAACTGGCTTTCAAAAAAAAGGTCTTTTTATGATCATAATAACTTCATAATAAGTGATGGTACTGCCTAGATCTTGTTGTAGTTCCTAGTATTATTCAACTAAATTTTATTCACTCGAAATGATTTGGAACGGTTATATTTCTGCAATTGACTTTTCAGTTTTCAGCGTAAAAAATAAATTAGAGTTTTACCCGTCACGGGTTTTTTAAAAAAACTTTCTCTTATAAATTAAATGTAATATTGATCAAGTGTTTTGAACTATTATCCATGGTGTTGGATATTCAAATAAGCAAAGTTATATCTTATGTAAATTATTTGTTATCTTATAATTTTTGTGTATTTGTTTATAAAAAAAATATCATTTAGTATACTTGTGTAGACTAATACATATATTTTTAGTTTACATATGTTTATATTAAAACAAGATGCTATATTTTAATTTTTAATAAATTATAATTTTCTTTTATTTTCTAAATAATTTTAACATTTGCAATACCTAACAAAATTCAAAATTTATTAGGAAGATTACTACGATTTTGACTGTTACGATACTACCAATTTTTCTTATGAATTCTTTTAAAAAACTGTTTTAACTAAATTACTATTTTGTTGATCAATTGTTAGTATAAGACACTGCAAGATATAGAAATATAATTATTGGTATATTCAGATGTTTAATAATAAAAATTGGAAATCAGTTATTTAAGTATAATAAAAACTAAATGGTAGGATATTGAAAATTGACAATAAGTTTCAAAACATAAAGATTTTTTTGTTTAAAATGTAGATATATTTTTTTATCACTTAAACATACTCTATTATGTTGCGGATGCTAAGAGATCATAGGAAATCTTTGCGAATAATATGTTGCCTTTTGTTCGTAATCATATATGCCCTATATATTAAAAGAAAAATATTTCAACATGTGAGATAGCCACATGTCATCATCAAATTGATTTTTAAAATCCTTAGAAAAATAGGTTAGTTTATTTAACTATATACTAAAATTTTCATTAAATTAACCATGACATTAGCTATTAACGTTTGCATTATTTTCTTAAATAAAACGACGAAATTACCTAATGTGAGTAAAGTATATATGAAAATTAATGATTTTCACTAACAAATATTTGATAAAACTATTATGTATCTTTTGTCATTTTTGTTTAATTTTATATTATTAAAATCACATTAATCATAAAATAAAAATTAGATTTCTCCGTATGTTATATTCTGAATTATTAAAAATGACAATAAATTACTAACAAATTTGTGATCAGTGGTTTAAAAATATATTAGAACAAAATAAAAATAATTATAAAACTATATGAGTAGGAAGTCTCATTTAATATTAAAGATGAAAAGATATATCTATTTTAATATTTTTTTTATATATACCATATAAAATACATAATATTATAATACTGAAATTTTCTTTGAACAAAATATTGAGAACTTACTATTTTTTAATTTTAAACATTACACTGAATTTTTTTTAAATGATCAACAATAAGTAAAACTATTAAATGTCCCACATTAAAAATTTGTTATCAACGGTTTAAATTTTTTATCATAAAAATACAAATAATCATATTGAAAATATATTGTATGTGTATATTAATATCATTTAAAATTAATTACATACCATATAAAACATATAAAATGACCTTTTACATTTTTTTATCATAAAATAATTGTAAATAAACAATAATTATTGTTTTGATTTATGTATTCACACCAATTTAATTATCTATATGTAGCAGTTACTAATTTCTCAATTATTCGACCTATATTATTATTTTATTATTCTATAAAGGAAAATAAGAAATAGTACAACGTCCGGGTTATATCTATTATATAACCCACTAACAATGGTATAATTTATCTTAATTTACAAAACTTGTTTATATTTCATTTCTCATACGCCGATCATGAAGTCGATACATTGGACAATGATATATACAAATCTTGTAATTACATTTCCTAACGAATGGTGAACGGTTACTGTTCTTGGCTACAAACATGTGCTCCTTTTATTCATTTTGTGAAGAAACTGGTGCTCATAAATCATCATTTTAATTGATTGAAAAACATAACCGATGTGTAAATATGATAGCTCGTCTTTTCAATGCGCCTCTTGGAGACACTGAGACCGCTATGGGAGTAGGGACGGTTGGGTCTTCAGAAGCCATCATGTTAGCCGGATCGGCCTTCAAAAGGAACTGGCAAAATAAAAGCAAAGCTGAGTGTGAACCCTATGATAAACCCAACATTGTCACCAGATCCAATGTTCAAGTAAGTATAACATCTTTACCAATTAAAAAAAGGAAAATCCGCAAAAAACTATATGAAAATGGGAAAATTTTGCACTTTAAACATTGGAATTCAACTATTAACACTTTATACAGTTTTAAAGTGAAATTTGTTTCAGTAGCATAATAAACATCGAAACTAACTTATTTGTTACACCCGTCAAAATTGTGATCGGTTACTATTCATTAGCAGGTAAAAATTGGTGACGTGACGGTTTACTTATTGAGGAAAAAAATCAAGAAAACAAAATAAAATTCATAAATTCAAAAAATTATAAATTTGTTTTTTTATAAAGATCGTTAAAAATTAGGAAAATTTTAACGAAGTCTGGAAAATATTCAAAAGTATAAAATATTAAATTAAAAATTAAAACAGTTTATAAAAATTCAAAATTTTAACAATTAATTTAAAAAACTAAAAAAAAAAATTCAAAAATCTAATATTCAACAAAATGTTTTAAAATCTTATTATATCTCGTAATAACTTTTTATAGTGATATGATTAAATTTGTCACCATCACCGCTATGTCGAACCCGAAGCAAAAAATTTAGGTACCAAGTATCTAGGATTCGAAGAATCTAAAACTGAAAATTAAGAAAGATCAAAAAAAAAAATCTGGAAAAAAACTTAAACTATGAAATTGGCGAAAATTGGCAAAAATTATGAAATTGGCAAAAGTTTACATTTTCAAGTGCCTTGTTGAGTCCAAATCACAAGATCCAAAGGATCCGAACCCGGACACCCAAACGCTCATATGCCTACCTAAAAACCATAGAGGATTGGGTTCAAGTACTTTTCATTTTTAATTTTTAAATTTTTAACTTTTGGAGTTTTTATTTTTTCCAGATTTTTATAATTTTTATCAATTATTTTTAAAAAAATATTTTTTTTATCTTTTTGAGTTTCTAAAATTTTGTTTTTATTTTCTTATTTTAGATAATTTTCTTAATTTTAATCAATTTTAAAATTTATTATAATTTTTAAATTTACTTTTTATTATTATTATTTTTTGAAGTTATGAATTTTAGTTTATTTTTCTTGATTTTTCCTGAATTTATATCAGTTTTAGAATTTATATTGAACTTTTATATAACTGTATTGATTTATTAACTAAAATAATTAAAAAAGTTTTTAAGAAAATAGTAAACCGCTACTGATTTTTACCTGCTAATGAACAGTAACCGGTCATAATTTTGATATGTGTAACAATTAATTTAGTTTTGGTGTTTAATATGCTATTGAAATAAGCTTTATTGTTTAAAAGTGTTAGCAGTTGAGCTTCAAAGTTTAAAGTGCAAATTTTTGTCAATTTTATGATTTTATATGTAATTTTCTCTTTGAAAAAATAGTGAGAAGCTTAACTGTTAGTAAATAGTTAACGGAGTTTAACACAAAGTTCATATGTGAAACAATATTCCAGAACTTGTTAGGTATTACCCCAATTGTCATTTTCAGAAACCAGTTTTCATAAAACATTTGTCCACATAGGTTAATACATTCTCGTTTAATCTGTTTTTGTTAAAGATTTTAGTTTCTAAATATATGTATCGCAGATTTTGGTTTAACAAAATACATTTAGGTGTAATTACTACCAAACGTAAAAATACTTTCAGGTGTGTTGGGAGAACACAATATGTGTTGCTGCCATACTTGGGTCCACACTCACTGGTGAGTTCGAAGATATCAAGCGCCTTAATGACTTGCTGGTCAAGAAAAATGAAGACACTGGCTGGAACACTCCAATTCACGTTGACGCAACAAGTGGAGGCTTCATATCACTGTTTATTTACCCTGAATTGGAATGGGACTTTAGGCTTCCATTGGTGAAGAGTATCAATGTGAGTGGTCATAAGTATGGGCTGGTCTATGCTGGTGTCGTGTGGAGGACACAACAGGATTAGCCTGATGAGCTCATCTTTCATATTAACTATCTCGGTGCTGATCAACCCACTTTTACCCTCAATTTCTCCAAGGGTATCTATCTTTCGGTTTCTTGTTCCATACTTTGAACTTGTGGATATTTATGTATTGTGATGAACGTTTTTGGTTGTTTGTAGAATCGAGCCAAATTATTGCTCAATACTATCAGTTCATTCGTCTTGGCTTCGAGTTGAGTGTACGGAAACAAAAAGATATATGTATATCCTAGTGTTAGTATTACAGCTAGCATATAATACTATCTTTGATTAACGAAGTATCAAAAATTGCCGATTAGGTGAAGTACGATTAAAAACCTAGATCTATTGTTATGTCAATTTTCTTTTACGATTGTATCGTCTATCTTTGGTACACATATAGGCTTTTATGATACATATATATAGGTGTGATGCACATATGTAAGCAGTGTGTTTTATCTGAATATAGGGCTACAAGAATGTGATGGAGAACTGCAGAGAGAACATGTTGGTTCTCCGAGAAAGGATAGAGAAAACAGAGCGTTTCAACATTGTCTCAAAGGATGTAGGCGTGCCACTCGTAGCTTTCTCTCTCAAAGGCCAGAGTTTCCACAACGAGTTTGAAATCTCTGAGATGTTACGACGTTTCGGCTGGATTGTCCCAGCTTACATTATGCCTGCGGATGCGCAGCACATAACGGTTCTGCGTGTTGTCATTAGGGAAGATTTCTCAAGAACACTTGCAGAGAGACTTGTGGCTGATATTTTGAAGGTACTTTCATGAGCTTGATACTTCGCCTTCCAAGATATCAAGGAAAATGGGAGCTGAGGATTTTGGCATTGTGAAAGAGATGAAGATGGAGAGGGAGAAGGTGATGGAAGTTATTTTTGGATGGAGAAAGTTTGTGAGGTATTAGAGAAGATGAATATTCTTCTTATTTCTGATTAAAGCTTAACGTTTACATGTGCATGACTCTTATATGAGCCAAAAGAGTGTAACAAACAAATGAACCAATAACAGAATAATAAACCGGTCGGTTTAACACACTAAACCGACTAATCTATTTTACACACTCTATTATTCCCCCTCAAGATGAGCCAAATATGGAAAGGAGACTCATCTTGCCAATAAGAAATTTGAACTGAGATGGATATAAGGCCTTAGTAAAGACGTCTGCAACTTGAGCCGAAGTACGAACATGCATTGTCTTAATCAAACCAGCCTCAATCTTCTCTCGTGTAGTGTGACAATCATTTTCTGTATGTTTTGTTCTCTCGTGGAACACTGCATTATTTGCAAAATGTATTGCTGCAGTAGAGTCACAGAACAAGGGAACAGCCTGAGACGTAGATATCTGAAACTCAGCAAGTAACTTGACTAACCACGCAATCTCGCAAGTAGCTAATGCCATAGCACGGTATTCAAACTCAGCCGCGGATCTAGAAACAACATCTTGCTTTTTAGATTTCCAGGAGATAACAAAGGCACCAAGGAATGTACATAAGCCAGATGTTGAATGCCTCGTATCTGGACAAGAGCTCCAATCTGCATCAGTGAAGACCTTAAGCTGCAAATCCGAACGAGAGGGATAGAAAAGACCCAAGCCAATCGTTCCTTTGAGATAATGTAGGTCTTTGTGAGCAGCAGTAAGATGAGACTTCGTTGGTGCAGAGGAGAATTGACAAAGCTTATTAACGGTAAAGGTAATGTCAGGACGGGTAATCGTCAGGTACATTAACTTTCCAACCAAGCGTCTGTACAGTTCAGGTTTATCAAGCAATGGTTCACCATTATGCAGAGCAAGCTTGATACTAGGCTCCATCGGTATACTAGAAGGTCTGCAACCAATGAATCATGTCTCGTCAAGTAGCTCTAAGATATATTTCCGTTGACAAACCGAAATCCCCTGTTGTGATCTAGCTATTTCCAAACCAAGGAAATATTTCAGAGAACCCAAATCTCTTAACTTAAAAGCTTGAGATAAGTCTTTCTTTAGTTGAACAACAACATCATCACTATTAGAGGCAATGACAATGTCATCAACGTACACTAGTAATGCCACATACATTTTACCAGTAATACGGATGAATAGGGCTTGATCTGAATGAGATATCCGAAATCCAAGAGCAACAAGTGTAGAACTAAACTTCAAGAACCATTGCCTGGATGCTTGCTTAAGACCATATAAAGATTTTTGGAGCTTAAGGACAGCATTTTCAGGTAATGATTCCCCCTTTCTTGCAGCATATCCAGGAGGTAAGGTCATAATAATTTCTTCATCTAAATCTCCATTAAGAAACGCATTAGAGATGTCAAGCTGATGCAAACTCCAATTATTAGCTGCAGAAACAGAAAGCAGAGTATGAACTGTTGTCATCTTAGCAACCGGGGAGAAGGTATCAACAAAATCCAATCCCTCCTTTTGAGTATATCCTTTAGCCACCAGACGTGCTTTGAAACGTTCAACTGTGCTATCTGCATTCAGTTTCACTTTGTAAACCCACCTGCATCCAATAGGCGTCTTACCAGGTGGTAAAGAACACACTATCCAAGTTCTTGTGGTCTCCAGAGCAACTTCTTCCACAGTCATAGCATCATTCCATATTTTCAGTTTCTTAGCTTGAGAATAAGATTGTGGCTCTGGATATTTATCAATAGCACAGATAATAGCTTGAAAATCATCAGATAACCTTGTGAGATTAATATAAGCAGAGATAGGATATCTTTCATCAGCTAAGGTATTACAATAATAGTCCTGTAAATGACTTGGTTGTTTACGGATACGCTTAGAAGAAGACTCAGCAGTTTCTGGAACAGAAGAAACGGCAGATTTTTGAGGTCCGATATCAGCTGCAGTGTCATCAAAGATATCATCACAAGGAGCATCACTTGTAGAGAATGGATAAATGTTTTCAAAGAAAACCACATTCCTGGATATAGAGATAGAATGTGTGTTCTAAGTCCAAGAGCTTGTAACCTTTATAACCAGTTGGATAACCCAAAAACACACAAGCTTTAGATCTTGGTTGAAACTTGTGACGATTCTGAGTAGATGTAGACTGATAACATAAACATCCTAAAGATCGCAGCATTGAATAATCCGGTGCTCTTGAATGAAGTAACTCAAAAGGGATTTTGTTATCAAGAACTGGAGAGGGTATTCTGTTAATAAGAAAGACTGCTGACAGAACACAATCTCCCCAATAGCAAATAGGAACTTTTGACTGAAACAACAAAGATCTTGAAAAATTTAAAATGTGCTGATGTTTTCTTTCCACTACCGAGTTCTGTTCAGGCATTTCTGGACAGGAATGATACGGTAGAATTCCTTTTGCTTTGAAAAGATCAGTAAACTTCAACTCTGGTGCATTATCAGATCTCACTGCCTTAACCGGAAGTTGAAACTGTGTCTCCACCATCTTAATGAAGTCAGGAATGATTCTAATAGCTTCATCTTTACTCTTCATTAAGAAAACTCATGTAGCTCTAGAGTAGTCATCCACTATAGTCAAAAAAATATATGTAACCTTCCGTTGTTGAGACAGAAAATGGTCCCCATGTATCAATGTCAACCAAATCAAATGCAACTTCACTTCTGTGTTGCTGTGGAGTAAACGAAAGACGTTTTTGTTTGGCCAGTTGACAAGTAGAACAATGTAAAGAATCCTTTTTATTTCTCTTATTGAATCCAAGTACATTTTGCAAAAGGTCCACTCTATCATAAGAGGGATGACCGAGTCTACTATGCCATAAAGCCTCATCAAACACAATAGAAGAACAATAAGGTGTGACTTTATTAGAAACAGAAGATAACAGAGATGTTGTGTCGAGCACGTATAGTCCTGCAACTTGTTTACCCTGTCCAATCATTTGCCCCTTGATACAATCATGAATCACACAAGAACTTGCATCAAAAACCACTTGTGAATTAAAATCATTTGTTATCTGACTGATACTAAGAAGATTCAGTCGAAAATCTGGAATGAATAACACATTAGTAATGGTTATAGCATCGTTGAGTCTGATACTTCCAACACCTGCAATCTTGACTGTAAGACCCGTAGGTAGAGTAACTGAACTGCTCAAATCATAAGATATATTGACAAATAAATCTTTGTCATGTGAAACATGGTGAGTCGCTCCACTATCAATGACCCATGTTTGAGAAGTCAGAACATGCTGAGAAACAATCAAGACACCAATAAAGCATAGTGTGGAGAAAGAAAATGAAATACCGTTCAGAACCGAGTCAACAACTTCATCTGGAGAAAGATTTTCAATGGAGTGAGACTGTGTTGGTATCTGAAGCTGAGTACTGAAGTATGCTATCACATCTTGTATCTGATCCTTGGACATTCCTCATATCAATGATGCAATGTCCTTGGAATTGATAACAGACTTTGATGATGAAGCTGAGACATCCTTCCCAATAGAAAGATTAGCAACGACTGGTTTAGCAACAACATGCGCTTTTTCTGAGGAGGAAGGCTTCTCATTTGTAGGTTTCTCACTTGCAGTCTTGTACTTATGTTTGAATCCTGGAGGATAACCATGGATACGGTAGCAACCATCCACCATGTGTCCCATATAACCGCAATTAGAACATTGAACTTTTCTCTGCTTAGGATTGTTGTTATATTGCGAATGAGAAGCATTCACTGCAAACTGATCAGAATTTGTAACATTGAATGCAGAAGCATTGTTGTTACTGACAGAAACACCAAAACTACGTTGACTGTGATCCTGATCCAAAATGTTATAGATCTCAGCAAGTTCAAGAATAGTCTTCTTCATGATGATTTGTCTTCGAATGGTCGCGTAAGACTCATTCAAACCAGCTAGAAACTTGATGATTTTGGTTTGTTCTGCCTTTGTATCAGTGGCTTTACAACAATCACAATTGTGGCAAGTACTAATACACTCAGCACCATCAAGATCGTCCCACAAAGTCTTCAACGCAGTGTAATAGTCAGAGAGAGTCAGAGTACCTTGTTGCAAAGTCCAAATTTGCTGGGTGAGTTGATAGGATCTTGGAAGGTTTGTGATATGAAACCTAAGCATCAAATCCTTCCAGATCTCAGCAGCGTCATTGAAACGAAGGATACTCTTGTATATCGGCTTTGATACAGAATTCAATAGCCAAGATTTGACCATATTATTACACCTTGACCAGATCCTAAAACTAGGATGTGATTCCGAAGGTCTAGGTAGAGAACCATCTATGAATGCTGATTTATTCTTCGCATCTAAAGCAACAGACATAGTGATTTTCCATGAGTTGAAATCAGATCCATCAAGTACCTCTGATACGATGACATTTCCCGGATTATCACTATTCGTAAGACCGTAAGGTGAATAGCTGATATCGGTGAAATCGATCGGAGAAAACGGTGGATTCGCGGAAGTAGAGGGGATCGATGGGGGTTGAGGAATCGAAGCTCCATGGGTGATCGATGATGAAGGAACATCACGTCTTGGGGTTTTCTCAGCTGAACTCACCTATTTGCCACCGCGACGCCGTAATCTTCTTACGGAGACCATCGCTGGTGTCGATGATACAACTGATGTGAATCGACGATGATTTTGATCAAACAAACGTTGATCGGAGAGAGTACGCCGGAGAAAAATGCTCTGATACCATATTAGAGAAGATGAATATTCTTCTTATTTCTGATTAAAGCTTAACGTTTACATGTGCATGATGATATATGGTGTTTTTAGCATATTCTAACAATGTATTCTAAAGTGTTTTTGAGTCTTTATCGAGTCTTTTTAGTCCTTTT